AAATAGTATATGTCTGAGTCAAGCAGAAAAGGTCAGATAAGTTGATGTTAGGGAAATGAACCCTAAGATATGTATTCAAATGTTTTTTTTCTTTCATGCGATTGTTTCTAACACATTTATAAGATGATTTCTTTGTTACTTTGTATGTCCCTCCCCCACGGTATAACCCCTGCTTTTACTGTATTTGATGTTGGTCCAATTTGTGGAGGGGAAGGGAAAAAACAAATCGTTTAAATAGGGATACAGGTGTACCCATTGCAACAATGAGATGTACACTCGTTATGTTGAAAACAAACTTTACAACTTTGGGGGGGGAGGAGGGAGGATGATTGGGTGGGGGGCGGAGGGAGGATGGGTAGGGATAGGAAGGGGAAAAAAGGAGGAGGCTACAATGCTTGATAAGAAATGTACTCATTATCTTGACCATGTAATTGTAATCCCTCTGTACAGTATTTTCACAATTAAAAAAAAGAAAGTAGCTTTTCAACAATGAATCCTAGAGAAATTTGACCATTTGATATCATAGGCAAGAGAGAGAAAGAGAAAGAGGGAGAGAGAGAGAGAGAGAGAGAGAGAGAGAAAGGTATGGAGGGAGGGACCAAGAAAAGAAGGCAAAACATCAAAGAATTCTAATTTCTGTCTCACACTTTTCAGAAAAATCATTTACAAAGATTGCGCATTTTAAATATTAAACTTAAAATAATAAAACATGTAGTGAAAAGTGCAGAAAAATTTTAGGTATTTTGACCACGCAAAGTGTTCTTACACCTGACACCAAAAGCACAAATAATAAAAGGAACATTTGGATTCCAGCAAAATTAGAAACTTTTGCTCTATGAAAACCCATTTATAGAGCATGAAAAGACAAATCACAGAGTTGGAGAAAATATTTGCAAACCACATATTTGACAGAGCTCTAGCATCTAGAAAATATAATGAACATCCAGAATTCAACAGTTAAAAAACAAAATTCAATTATAGAATTGGTATCTAAATGGATATAGATGTATATATACAAATAAATGAGTTTACATCCATCTAAGATG